GCCAGAAGAGTCCGTACCATCGACATTTTTGCAACTGGAGCGAATGTCTCGTTATAATCGACGTCGTACTCTTGAGTGTAGCTGAGAGCGACCAAGCGAGCCTTATGACGCTCAATTTCACCCTCGGGAGTCATCTTGATGGTGTATACCTATCGGCAGCCAACAATGGGAATAGACGGATGAGGTCGATCCACAACAGTCTAGGTATTGTTCGCATGCAAGGCATTAAATTCCTCTTGCATGGCTTTGTCCCACACTGGATTGCCACATGCTTGCTTGTATCGGGTCGGAATCATAAGTGGCGTGACGCCATGAGCTAGATAATCATGAAAATGGAGAGGAGGAACTCCCTTAGTAGCACGTAGAGACCTCCAAAGCTGGGGATTAATTGGAGCTGCAGGTGAGGACGTTGCATGCGAGGAGGAAGAGACGGACATCTCTGCATGGGAAGTGGACCCGTGACTGGACATGCTGGAAGGAGTGGGGGACTCTTCTCCTGTTGAAGTGTCGACATTGGGAGGCAGACTAGGAGGAGACGAGGGCGGTCCAGGATCAGGTGGAGAAGCATCGTCATTATCAAACAACGGCAGGGATAAACCAGCAGAAGGAAAAGAGTAGTCCGAGACACTAGAAGAGGATCCGAAAAACATAACATGTTCAAAGAACACGACCGAGCAGGCGATACGTATACGCTGAACAATAGGGTCATAACAAAGGTAACCTTTGTGAACGTCACTATATCCTAGGAAGGCACAACTAGCTGTCTTAGAGGTTAATTTAGTTCTTTCCCTCTTAGGAAGAAGCACAAAGCATTGACACCCGAAGACACGAAGACGGGAATAGTTAGGATGACGACCATACAATCTAAAGAACGGACTTTGTTGCTGAAGAACAGGAGAGATTTGATAATTAATTAGCCGGACTGCGGTAGCAACAGCCTCCGGCCAAAACCGAACAGGAACACTGGATCCTAGAAGGAGTGCCCGGTAAGCTCAACAACATGGCGGTTCTTCCTTTCAACCAATCCATTCTGTTGAGAAACCCCAGGGCACGACATTTGACTTAGAATCCCGCGAGACTTGTACAGATCATGCAAAGGATGAGAGCTAAACTCTCCACCCGGATCAGAGCGGATAATTATAACAGTACGACCAAACTGACTGTGTATCATGTTAAGAAAATCTTATGCCACAGTACGAAGTTCAGATTTAAGACGGAGAAAATAATTCCAGGAGAAACGGGTAGCATGGTCAATGAACAAAGCAAAGTAGCAATAACCACGACGAGAAACATTAGGGGAAGGCCCCCAAAGATCGGTGTGAACTAAATGAAAAGGTTCCTGTATAATAGTGGTACTAGAAGGAAAGGAGATGCTAGTAGTTTTCGCCTCTACACAGCTAGTACAAAAATGTTTAACAGGCACATTCATGTTATGTTTACCAAGAAGAGACTGATTAAACATCAAGGACAGACGATTGGAGTGGGGATGCCCCAAACGGGCATGCCAAAGTTCCCACGAATTATTAGAAAGACTCGAAAAAACTGGATTACTGACAGACCTAGACACAGACTGAGAGACCGATAAAGATTTGTAATGATCATCAAGTTCCTCCAAGTGAAAAATCCTCCCCCGTTTACTCCCTTTTCCGATCTGCCTCCCTGTCTTCAAGTCCTGCACCACACACCCAGTGGGAGCAAAAACAACAGAACATTCCTGTTCAGTAAGCTGTCCCACCAAAACTAAATTTGGAACCAATTTTGGAACATTCAGGGTATTAGACAAAGATATCTGAGGTTGCTCGAACCGTCCAATACCCTCTACATTTAGTTGAGCGCCATTTGCAACCATTAACCCAAAAATATTCACAGGCCGAACATCCTTTAGCAAACTATTATTGTGGGTCATATGATTAAAACACCCTGAATCAATTAACCAAGGTTGCAATGGCTATTTACCTTAGCTCTGGAAGGTGGAGAAAGCGGCGCTTATGGCATTCGGGAGGGTTTTCTGAAGCGCCGCTTGAACAAGCTCCTCGACAGAGACTGCAGCCGGCCCAACTACACCTCGCCCATCTCCTTCAACAGCTTGTACAGCATGCGCAGCTCGAGGAGGGTTGAAGGAAGGTCCTGCTCTAGTATAGCGAGCATCATTTCGCTCCTTTGTGCGACACTCGAGGATGATATGGCCACTCCTTTTACAGTAAACACAGAAGTTTCGGCGGCGACAATGTTTGAGAAGATGCCCCTTTTCGTGACAGTGGTGACATTCAAGTTCAGACACAGGAACACGGGACTGAAAATGAGGACGTGAGACTGCATAAGAATGATAGTTGTGTCCTCCACGACGGAACCCATGTGTTCCTTGTTCTTCTCCATGTTGAACCAAAGATTGACTAGCTGAAAAAACAGATTCCCCCTCTCTTGGGTGCACGTCCAAAAGAGATTGGGTACGGAGGCGAGTTTCCTCCCTCACAAGAAGACCCAGCACACCTTCAAAACGCAGTGACACGGATATTCTCAAATTCGGGTCGAAGTCGCATAAGAAACTGAAGAAGGCGATGCTGTTGCCGTTCCTCAAGCATTTCGACAGTAGAAGCAGTGGGTCGGAGAGCGGCACTTAGCAAATCATTTTCGGTCCAAAGTTCTTGTGCGGCATTAAAATATTCTGTAACTGATCTGTCTCCTTGTTCAAGACGAGCTAGGGCGGTTTGTACCTTTAATTGACGGGCTGGATACTAGGTTGAATAGGTTGAAGCCAGATGCCTCCACATTTGATTGGCAGTAGGAAAGAGGCGGAGACTGAGGCAGGTGGACGAATTAACCGATCCGAGCAACAACGATTGTACACGAGCATCGTTTTGCTTCCAGGTTGCTACCTCCAATGTTGATGCTGGTGGAGAAATCAGCCTAGGAGTTTGTCCGTCAAGAATCCCAAGCAAACCCTTGCCTTCGACAAACACTCTAAACTGAAACTCCCACAAGGCATAGTTCGTCGAAGTGAGACGGACAGACGGTCGTTCAGATTCGGTGGCGGATGGCTCTGATACCATGTTGATAATCTAACAATTCTGGAATTGATGAATAAAACAGAACAGACGGATTTACGTGGTATCCCTGGTTTCCCAGGACTAATCCACGAAGGAGCAAGAATACTCCTCGGCTACTGATGTTACTGATTGTGATCAAAGAGCATTTGTGTTACAGAGACTGGCGGCTGCTCTCTCCCTTTATACCTCATCAGCTAGAGCTAGGGATCACCAATGACTACGTCCCCTCTCAGCATGGGCCCAATCTCCAAGACAACAATGATGGCCCATGCAACGTTCTAAAGAGCTACAAAAGGCCCAAAGCACTCTACCGCAATCTACCGCTAAAGAGTACACGAGCAAAAGGCTATACACTTGTCTAACACCCGCAAGCTGTACTGTGGAGGTCACGAACCTGCAGCTTGGAGAGCAAAAAATAAAAACGATCCGCACCCAAACCTTTTGGGAACAAATCAACAACTTGAAGTTGAGAACTGATTTTCCGAGGGAGAATATCACGAGAAACGACCCTTTCACGAACAAAGTGACAATCCATCTCAACATGTTTAGTACGTTCGTGAAAAACTGGGTTGGTAGAGATGTGAAGAGCTGCTTGATTGTCGCAATACAAAGGAGTAGGGCCATGTTGAGGAACACCCAACTCAGAAAGCAACCAGCGTAACCAGAGCAACTCACTGACAGTACTGGCCATGGCACGATATTTTGCCTCTGCAGACGAACGAGCAACCACCTTTTGTTGCTTAGTGCGCCAAGAAACTGGTGTAGATCCCAAGGAAATGTAGAAACCACTAGTGTAACGACGAGTCGACTGACATCCTCCCCAGTCAGCATCACAATACGCGACTAGGTTAAGAGAATTTTCAGCTGGGAAATACAGACCTTGCCCAGGAGATGTCTTCAAGTAACGAATGATACGTATGGCTGCATCCATATGGGCCTGTAAAGGCGCATGGACGAAGCGACTAAGGATATTGACTCCATACGATATGTCAGGCCGGGACACAGTGAGGTAGAGTAGCCGACCCACCAAACGACGATAGGACGAACCGTTGACAAGAGGAGTAGAACCAGACTTGGTGAGCTGATGATTCTGCTCAACCGGGAAGGTACTAGGACGAGCGCCAAGGACTCCTGCTTCTTCAAGGATATCCAGAACATATTTCCGTTGACTAAGAACAATCCCACAAGGAGAACGAGCAACTTCAAGACCTAGAAAATACTTCAGTGTACCCAAGTCCTTAATGCTAAACCGATCATTAAGAAAACGTTTGACACTGGAGATAAAATCCAAATCGTTGCTAGCCAAAAGAACGTCATCTACGTAGATGAGAGCCACGATGAAAGTAGTACCTCGAGAAAAGATGAACAAGGAGTGATCCGCAAGTGAGGCGCGAAAACCGAGTTCACAAAGTGCAGTAGTGAACTTTTGATACCAGTTGCGGGAGGCTTGTTTTAGTCCATATATGGACTTCCTCCTGTAGAATTCCTCCTGAAGATCCCCATGAAGAAAAGCATTATTCACATCAAGCTGGTGAATAAACCATCCTCGACTAGCTGCCACGGCAATGAGACAACGAACTATAACAAGCTTAGCAACCGGAGCAAAAGTATCATGATAATACACACCCTCAATCTGGGTGTAGCCTTTTGCAACTAAACGAGCTTTATAGCGCTCTACACTGCCATCGGGGTAATACTTGACTTTGAATACCCATTTAGAATCGATGATATGAACACCAGGAGGGGGAGTGACAAGGCTCTAGGTTCCGTTGACTTCAAGAGCATGGATTTCCTTGTTCATAGCATCCCGCCACCAAGCATAACGAACTGCTTGTGAGAAAGTTCTTGGCTCAAGCTGTCGAGTAATCTCTGCAAGAAAAGCTCGGTGTTGAGGACTGAACCGCTCATACGAAACATGGTGAGACAATGGATACTGAACATGTGACGCATCGTTCAGTTCAGTGACATAGACATCAAGGTAAGATGGAGGTCGCTTGTTGCGTAAACCTCGACCAAGTTGAGGAGCCTGAGAAACGGGACTGACATGCCCCTCTTCGAGAGGTTCCATAACGATGTGAGTGGTTGGCTGTGATGATGACGGTGATCCAGCATCACGAGAGTTGCTAGCTGGCGAAGACAACGCAGGAGACTGAGGTCCTGCCGAAGACGACATAGGGGACTGAGGTGGTGATGTTGCTGCTGGGAAGGTAGGAGGGGAAGTGACCACAGGCTGATCATCAACGAGCGGTGTCGAGTTGGGTGCTCCTTCATCAACTGGGGAGAAAGGTGACGAGAGCCAATGAAAATCTCGAGGGTCTTGGGCATGAAAGGGGAAATACGCTTCATGGAAGATGACGTCTCGAGACACATGAACCTTGCAAGTAGCGAGGTCATAAACCTTGTAGCCTTTTGTGTAGAAGGGTAACCAACAAAGACACCTGCGCGCCCCCTATCGGCAAATTTGTGAAGCCCTCAATGGTTGTCTTTGGTATAAGTAAGGCATCCAAATGCCCGCAGATGGGAATAAGGAGCAACCGTACCAAACATAAGCTCATAGGGCGTTTTATTAGTTGCCGAGGTGGGCTTACGGTTTATGAGATAAACGGCGGTGAGTACACACTCACCCCAAAAACTCAACGGTAGTCCTGCATGAAAACGGAGCGCTCTAGCAGTATCCAAAATGTGTCTATGCTTTCGTTCAACTACCATGTTTTGTTGTGGAGTATCAGTGCAACTGGTTTGCAAGATGATGCCAGAATTCTCATAGTAATCACGTAGGACTAAGGTTTGAAACTCTAAACCGTTATCTGACTGGATACGTGTAACACCCCACCCTAAAACTCATTGGGTTGAACCAATGGTTCACCCGCACAACGGAATCTCTATCGGGGGTTACGCAAAAACTCAACTGTTTTACTACGGTCACATACATACCAACATTATTATAATCCAAAATCACAACAATCAATTCTCAAATTACTTATCATATAGCAAAGATCAACTCGATCTAGTTCATTCATTTCATGTCAACCAAATCAGCGTGTCATTCACTACTATGTTCATTACGGTACCATCTACTATGCAATACCCAAATCATCAACTCATAAAACATAAATGAGAGTCATTTCAAAATCTAGGAAAAGTTCAAAACCAATCCTCCATCGATCATTGTACAGTGCCAGAGTTTCTCTCAATTCATTCGAACCTGTAAGAAACTGAACAGAAGTGGGTCAGCAACTAAGCTGTGTGTGTGGATCCTTCACACGACCTAGTTTTGGGACCGCAATCAGCTAATCAAACAGTCGCAATCAATCATAGCTTAGTACTCTAGATGCCATCTTCAATCATGATATATAAATTATCGATCAAATTATCGAATCCACCAACTCATCATCACCAAATCAATTCATCTAATAAGATAATCACATAATCTCACGAACACATAATCAATGCATGATATGAAAATTCCGGTTAATTATTAATGGCGCCAAGGTCACCATACACTTACCCTCGCTCGAGCAAATCATCATCCGTAGTGCTCATGCAACCACAACACTCAATCCGTGGTGCTCATGCAACCACAACTCTCAATCCGTGGTTTTTAACCACAACACTCATCCGTGGTGCTCATGCAACCACAACACTCAATCGCATAAGCGAGCTAAATCTACCCACTCTCAAGGGGTGAGGGTAAGTGCAGGCCCTTTCTACATCTATGTGAATTAATATGATCACGAATCAAACCATTTCCATTTTTCTCCTTCATTACAACAATCCGGAATCAATGTAGTCTCACTGATTAACCGATCCATATATATATTTCCCGTCGATTATCAACTCGACGTTTCTAAAAACCTAGTATCCCATCATCCAATACCAAATCGCATAAATTATCTCATTCTCTAGTAAAGCTACTTAGCAGTACTATATCACCATTCCTCATCCAAAATTCATAAACAATTTCATGAAATAGATCTGATGCAAATAATTGTAAATACCCCGGTTGCGATTAAAAATGTCCTTAACTCAAAATTCACTTTCCTTCATTAAAATCCTCACAAAATTCATGTAAATTAATTTATTGACACAAAAATCCAGTTAATCTAGTTATGGACATAAAAATCACTTTAGACAATAAAATATCAAAAAATTCGTATTAACCATTATTTTACGGTAACTTAAATTCCCACAAAAAAGTAAATACGAAAATCTCTCAAAAATACAAGAACCTTTATTTATCATCCTAAAACAGGTCTGTCTAGTTTTTATATTTTTCAACAAATCAAAACCACGAAAATAATATTACACTCGGTCTTTACCGCAAATCTCGTATTAAGCTCGTTTTTACCATTTTAAAGATAAAAACTACACCAAATGTCTAATTTACCATTTCCAGACCAAAACCCATTTAACAATCCATACTGACCATTTTAAAGTGATCAAAATCTTAAAGATAAATAAAACACGTTTTTACCGAGCTTTCCGTAAAATTCATCGTTATGCAGTTTTTAATCCAGAAACAATTTTCAAGTGAAATCTTCTGCTCAATCTGTCTCAACATCATTTTAGACAAACAAAAATCTCTTAGATCCGTTTTAAACTCAATAAACCCAACTATCCATTTTTACGGTGAAACTTGTCAAATACCGATATGTACACCGTAAAATCCATAACAATAAATAATAATCACCAAATAATCATCTCAGCAACCAAGTCATCAACCAAACTAATCCATCCATCCAAATATGCAAATAAAGCATAAATAATCGATGCAATAATTAAGGTCCTCTTAATCCCCACACACCTTAATTTAGCCGATTCCTAGTTGGGAATTAAGCTCTGTAATTCCAGTAATTGACTCCTAAAATTCCTCCTCGTTCCCACGGTCGTGTAGCCGCTAACGGTTCGTCGTTTGAACGCCAAACGAAGAAACTGCGAGCCGATTAAGATTAGTATGGAAAATTATCGAATAGTACCTTATATTTTCGAACTGTCAGACACAGCTCTGGAACTTAAAATCGTACAATTTACGACGATCCTCCGATGAACCTCTTACAAGCGTCGAAACCGATTTCTGACTCCACCAATCGAATTATAGGGGTCCTATTACCTAAACCCAACCCTAAGATGATTCAATTTCCCTCTTCTTCCCTTTCTTGCCCTTTTCTTTCCTCTCGGTGACTACTTTAGGAAAAACAGAGGAAGAATCGTTCCTCTTCCTATATGCTGTCCTAAGCTCCCTCTACCCTGCTTTAATCACGCTGAAGTAGAATTAAAACCCTAAAGGCCGCCTTCTATCCTGCAGGGCTGTTGGAATTATAAAAATCCATTTCCAACGTCGGGCGCCGATTGAAAGATACATATCCGGAGCTCGACACGTCCTGGAAGTGTTCGACAATGTGCCACGGATGTCGGCTCTTCCATTGAAACGACGACGTCGGAGTTAAGGCAGGCTGGTTGCATACAGAAGGACGTAAACATGTACTTAATCAAACCCCAGAGCCCTTGTACACTAATAACCTTGTAGCCGAGCGTGTAAGCTGTTAGTTATTGACCAAAAGCTCAATGTTTCAAAACCTGTAGCCATCATTTTATTTTCTCATTTTTTCTTTTCTCTATAATTTCAAAATGTATACATATATGTACACACATAATAATCAATTACTATAATTATTATTGCTTCCACATACATCCTTTTTCCGTTGACGACGTAAATTCCACGACATAGAATTTCGATTGTAAATTTACAATTATAGAGAATAAATTTATTTTATTTATTTTGTTTGGTTTGGGATGTTACAATACGTTTGACTTTCTTCCCAAACTGTGTAGCGACCATCTCGAAGAACATCAACAAATAACACAACTAAAATCATCAACGATAGTCAAGAAATAATGAGCACCACTGAGTGACGGAGTTTGATAGCCTCCCCAAATGTCGATATGAATTAACTCAAAACAAGCAGAAGTCTTAATCGTACTAAGCTGAAAAGGAAGTCGACTTTGTTTTGCACGGGAACATGAATGACACGGGCCATGTCCCTTAATACCCGAAACCGAAATAAAAGAACATAATTGAGAGAACTTCAATGGAGAAGGATGGCCCAGACGATGATGCCAAACTTCTTCTGATACTAACGACGAACCACTGGCAGCAAGAGCGAACGACTCCTTGCTATCCAACAACTTCAAGTAGTAGAGACCATTACGGAGAATCCCCTTCCCAATCACGGTCCTGGAGTGTAAGTCCTGGACTACACATAAATCAAGCAAGAAGATAGGTGCGACATTGTTATCCTGAGTTAATTTGCTGAGCGACAAAAGATTGCACTTAAAATCTGGCACATGTAACACGCGGTCCAGTTTCAAACCAGAATCAAACTCAACTGTACCAACACTTTCAACAGGAACACTTTCACCATTCGGGATTCTTACTGGCTGATGATCATGCTCGGCTAGTTTAACATTCAACAATCGAGCATCCTTCGTGATATGCTCATTACATCCTGAATCGATTAGCCATTCAGAATCAACAGTAATCATACATGACATGTGTGCAGAGGGTTCCTCAACGTAAGTAGGCTGCGAGAGGAACTTTCTCAATTGTTCCAGTTGCTCGACACTGAAACCCGGAACATGACTGACGTTGCTGGGTGTTGTGGCTGCCTACGCTGCACGAGGTGGAGGGTCTCCCTGACTTTTCTTCTTCTTTTCACCCTTTTCATTCTTTTCGGCAGACCCAGTGCTGCGAGTTGGCCACCCAACAATATCATAGCACTTGTGCTTAAAGTGACCAGGTTTCCCACAGTGAGTACACTTGGGACGACCATCGGCAGTACGCGGATAGTCATTATCACACTTAGCAGCAAACCCATCTCCTTCAGAGGTTGGACGTCATTTTTGTACAAGGAGTCGTTGTTGCTCATCGGTTGACACCATGTTAAAGGCTTCGGCCAAGGTGGGAGAGGGCTTCATCGAAAGGATCTGACTCCGAACTGTGCTGAAACTCTCATCCAGCCCCATGAGGAAGTCGAATAACCTTGAACACTCTTCCTTGCACGAGTGCGGGCCTCAAGACCACAACTACATTGGCCGCAAGTACAAGTTTCTGGAGGAGAAAGAGAGTGAGATTCTTCCCAGAAATTGCGAAGCTGAGTGTAAAAGGACGAGACAGTGAGCTTCTCTTGCCAAAGTCCACTAATAAGACGACGGAGTTCATAACCACGAGTTAGACTTCCTTGGCCGAATCTTTCTTTCAAATCGACCCAAAC